TTTTTGTCTTACTCCCCTAGCCTCATCGATTGACATAGAACCAATTGCTTTTTGGCCAAAACAAAATTCTCTGTCTCACCAAATCATGCTTTAAAATGTCATCCCTTATACTTTGAAAATAACTCTCTTACAAAAATATTTTTAAAAAAGTAATTTAAAATTGATTGATTTTAAAAACTCTTAATAATTTATGAATTTATCCCATATCGACAAATTCAAACCATATTCTCAAACAGTTAGAGAAAAAAGAAGTTCGACAAAAAAATTAATCCCTCCATCCACAAATAAACTTCCCGTTTACTATTCACATGGTCAAACTTTATTCACTTTGTTGGCTTATTTTCGTCACCCATTTGGTAAAATAATATAGTCATGTCACCTCTAGTTTTGTAGTTCTTTTGATATAGTTTTTTAATATGTAATTTTTATTTTTAAATTTTACACCATTTTTCATATAAAATGATTTGAAAATAACTTTAGTCAAATATCGTAACGCGCAACGGGAAATTTATTTATGGACGGAGGGAGTAATAATTTCCAATTTTTTTGGGTGATAACTAGAAATCAATTAATTAAACAAACAAGATTGTTGACTATTTTATAAGATCTTTTCCTACAAATATATAGATAAAATAATTTTTAAAAAGATCATTTCAACAAGAAGCTCTTACCTCCTCACATTTAAATGAAAGTGCACCCTCGCAATTACTAGGTTGTCCTCACACTTAAATTATTCAGCTATGAAGATTGAAATATTAATTAATTAGAATCATAAAAAGATTTAGGAAAACAGGGCGTAAAGCACAGAGAACTTCCCCAAATGTGTTCCAATAGAGTTAACAATAAATTCCAAATAAAATTAGTTTCAAAACACTAAAATACTATTCAAAATAGCCAAGATAGAAGTTTATTGCCACGAGTAAAACTCCCTCATCCTTTTCTTCTTGAGATGGAGTTGGTGGTTCTGAGTCAGATCCCTTAGTTGGTTCCACCTCATGTAGGACTTCACTGCTTGGAGGGCATTCAAGTAACATCACCACAGTAGCCCTAGCGAGCATTTAAAGAGTTGTAATGCACTCGGGTTTCTGAGATTGTGTTGGACTTGATGAATCTTTGAGAATAGGTTCAGAATCTCTCTTAACTTCTTGAACTACTTGATGTGGATTAAACATTCTCAATTGCTCCAACTTTTCTTGGGATTGAAGGTTAAATTTCTCTTGCGCTTCTAAGAAATTGGTCTTGTTTGATCGGAGAAGGATATGAAGATCCACGCGTCTTCTCCAAGATTCACGAGAAAAGTTGTCATACCAATCATACGCAGGGGACTCGTTAAATACATTTTGTATTGCTAATAACCGATCGAGTTCCCTTACCTCATTTTCTTTTTCATATAGTTCCCCCACTTCGTTCTGGCGTTATGCTCTTTGTTCTTGGAGTTATGCAATTTAGTTGAATCTCCAATTGATGGCTCTCTTGTTCCATTCAAGCTTTTGAACAAGAGTGTGGTCATCATAATTGGAGAAGGGAGGGGGTGATATGAGGGGTCCTCGTCCATCAATTCTTCATCAAGCTCTTCATGCCTATTATCAGCCTCTCGAAGCTTTTGCTCCAATCTTTCTTTTCGGATTGATTTGAGCATATGCAATCTTGTCCAAAACACATAATCGTCCATTTCAATTTGTGATTTAGATGATAGAGTTCGATCACGACCGTCTCGTCCCATCTGTCTCTAGGAATTCATCACTTCATTCTTTTTGTTTACCTGCGTGTAGCAAATAAAACATACTACACGCTCAGCGGTAAAGCTGAGTAAGCATATCTAATGCGCCGAACATATATATAAACTAAATCTCAATTCATAATCAAATCATTTGATATCATGCATATAATATACAATTCAAGCATTCATCTTTCATGATATTCACAATATTTTAATTTGAATCATTTCAGGACACATACTATATTCCATATTCGGTATTTCAATAGTGCTTTTAAATTATTATTAATCTAAGGCCAAATCATTTTGGTAACAAAGCTCTTAGCTATTCCTAGTCTAAGGCAATATTTCTAACCGGGCTCTTAAACTATAATTAGTTTAAGGCAAAACACAAGAATCGATGATCCACCCTATGAGTCTTGTGGAGCACGTACCAATCGAACAGTGAACTATCGGGCGAGTGATATTCTGTTTGAATCTCGTACGTACGTTTTAACCCCAAATTTTTGAATTTGTCACATAGGTTTATCTTAGAGTTCTTCTAGATATCCTTAATAGTCATCGTCAATTTCCAAATGAGATCTCAGAGTTCTTCTAGATACCCTTAAATTCAATACACATTAGTTTCATAATTATCAATATATCCATTTTTAAGTCATGGTTCAATCATTCATAATTATATATCATTCTAATCAGACTTTTCATCAAGGCTTAATCATCATGATCACCAATCAATAATATTCATCATAATCATCAATAAATAATAATCATCATAATATTCAATAACAAATAGCGGCCTAGCATCGACTGTTAACACTCTAGCTTACCATCATACATCACATAAGATTTTATTTGTCAAAAACTTCATTTTTATTTTGAGAAATCATATTTATATTGATCATAATTGATTTTTATCAAAAATAGGATTTAATAATTCAAAAATCGGGTTTCGGGGAAAATATCGGCTTCAAGACGGTACCCGGTACGGTACCTCTGTACCGTGTCACGGTACCCGGTACGGTACCTCTATACCGTGTCACGGTACCTCAGTACCGACCACCGTTAGCCACCGTGAGAAGAACAAAGCAACCAACGGTAGAAGGCTACTATTACTACGGTACACCCTACAGTGCCGGTTGTACCTAGGTACCGTCCGGGTGGTAGCGTGATACCGTTCTGTGCATAAATTTTGAACAGTGTCATCTTCAACCTCGGGCGAATTTTCGAAAATGTCATTTTAAGTCATCAAACTTCAATTAAACTATATAGAAATGTTCTCCAAGGCTCATCGATCATTTTGACATCATTAGTTCGTAGTTTTAACAATAATTTCAAGGTTTATGATTCTTGGTTCTTCAAACATCTCAAACACAAAACTCAACCAAACGACCGTTTATGAACGTAGAAACGATGTATACGAACATTCTAGTCATTAGATATATTTATCGGCTTACTTGAAGCTTAATGAAGGTTTTGAAAATTTTCTGGTGAAACTTCAGGCGAGAATTGTGGCTAGTTCCGGCGACGGGAAGCTCTCTAGACAACACTACTTTACTCTCTGCATACACAACTCTCTTTTGGAAGAAGAATGGTGAAAATGGTAAGGTTTGAGGGGTTTATATAGTAGAGGAAATTTGAAGAATGCATGAGAGATGACCTCTCTACTACTGTTCCTGTTCGTTCAGCGTCTCAGTGGAGGAAGCGGCGATTCCAACGGGTTTTAAACGTAAGCCCCCGACTAGGACCAATTTTGGTTCTAGTTGGGATACACGTTTTGGTCCAACTTTCTCTGAATTGAAATTCGATTGAACCGTTGTGGTCAGACAGTCAAACTCTACATAACGAAATAATTTTCATAATCATTTGTAATACTTTTTCTGACATCATATTTTTTTGGTGTTTGACTTTGACAGAGTCAAAATTGATTTAATTGACCTTTATTCAAAAGGTTCTCACATTTATTTCTTATTAATTATTCTCGTGATTTATTTCAATAAATTATTTCAAAGTTCACATCATAAATCAAATTCTCCGTTTATTCTTATTTTGGGTCTGTACTCTGGTTCCCAATCAAGATCACACAAGTAGTTAACATATTGGATTTGTCTGTATGAGATTTGTCCAGATTGTGATATTAGAAATCAAAACATATTTTATTTCGGCTCAAGACCCAATAATAATTTATTTTAATCAAAACAAATTTTTTTAATTGAATAATAATTCAATAATACTTTTAGGGTATATTTTGGGGAGTTACACTTTCATTGATCTGTCTTTCTACGAATCTTCTTCTTATGTAGGTCTTGAAGATTGATCGATTTTCGTCGGAATTAAAAGTTAAAATCTTTATCTGCACGAAAGGAGAATAGCAAAAATTACAAACGAGCTAAAACCGGGAGTGTTAACAATTTATTAGTCTCAATTTTTTTAGACCTAATATTTTGGGGGCAGGCCGATGGGGAAGGCGGCGAAGGAGGGGCTGACGGTGGCGACGAGGGATGAGGCGAAGGTGGGGCTAGCAGTGGTGGTGGGGCTGAAGGTGGCGGTGGCCGTTGGGCTATGATGTGGGAAATGAAGGGCAAATGTCATTTTTGATAGATTACACATATAGTCAACTTTCAATAAAAATGAGGGAAAGTCAAATTGAGAAGTTCTCTTCCAGACAAAGAAAGTACTATATTTTGAAAACCGGCAATGTTATATGACACTCTCTTTGAGTGTTCAGTGCAGTGTTATGCCACTCGCCCAATGAAAATAAAAATGTTTATCTAAACATTAAGCGAATGCTTATTGACCTCCTTTGTGCATCCACCGTGCTTTTTAGGTCCACGAAAGAATTTACCAATAATTTATTGTGTATTCGTCTTATGTGAATGTAGAAGCTACTCATTGCTCATTCTACTTATTTATTTTCGTTATAATTATTATGAGAATAGTAATAATAATAATGCACTATAATAGTGAGGATAATAATAAAAGTAATAATAATTAGAATAATAACTGAAACAATAATATGTACGGAGTATAATTCTAAGTCACTTTTGGAAAAAAGAATAGAAGTTGGAATAAACTGGGAAGCGTAAAATAATACCAAAAAATGTTAAAGAAATTACAAAATTTTAGAGGTTTAAAGTTAGAAATGGACAGAACAAAAGGTAGAATTTTTTTACTCTTCCTATCTGAAATTAATTGCTAATTTTACCTTAAAGGGGATTAAAAAAATATTTTTAAAATGTTGAATATTAAGAAATTAATGGTTAAACTGTTAAATTATACGGATCAATTTGTTTTTGAAATAAAAATGGAAAGAAAAAGTTTAATGGGCCATCATAGGGTGGCATTTCAAAAGAATGGGCCGTAGGGTTGTTCCCGAATGTGCTGACGGTTTGAAGAGCATATTCGGACGGAATTGGGATGGCATGATGCGATCCAACCCATTCCAGATCGCGCAGATCTAACCATAGTCAAGAGTCTAAGCAACCATGGTCGTGTTTAACCAACCACGCACGCCCGGCGCTGCCACGTGGCGCGATGAACGGCCAGGATTGATTTTCATGATACAATGCACCGTCTGTCTTGCCTATATAGGCAACGCATCCACAAGCCCTAGCCACCGCACGCAGAGAGATCGAGATCGAGATCCAGAGAAAGTCATGGCTAATCCCAAAGTGTTCTTCGACATCACCATTGGTGGCGCTCCGGCCGGCCGCGTCGTGATGGAGCTCTTCGCCGATACGACTCCTCTGACCGCTGAGAATTTCCGCGCACTCTGCACCGGGGAGAAAGGAATTGGAAAGTCCGGCAAGCCCCTTCACTACAAGGGATCCCCGTTCCACCGCGTCATCCCCGATTTCATGTGCCAGGGGGGCGACTTCACCAAGGGAAACGGCACCGGAGGCGAGTCGATCTACGGTGACAAGTTCAAGGACGAAAATTTCATAAAGAAGCACACCGGTCCCGGCATCCTGTCCATGGCGAATGCCGGTCCGGGAACCAACGGCTCCCAGTTTTTCATCTGCACTGCAAAGACCGCCTGGCTCGATGGTAAGCATGTCGTTTTCGGACAGGTCATTGATGGCTATAACGTGATAAAAGAGGTGGAGAAAGTTGGATCAAGTTCTGGTTCAACCAAGAAACCGGTGGTGATTGCTGACTGCGGCCAACTCCCTTAGATCCGTTTGCTCCGTCTATGTGTCTCCCTCGTTTACTTTTAGCGTTGTTTTTGAATTCCCAGTTTACCATTGTGCTGTGACTGTGTTTTCTGCTTTTATCGCTTCTTGTTTTCTTGAGGAGCTTCTTGGGATCTATCCATCTATGAATTCAATAAGTTTACTATTTTAACATATTTGCCTCTTTTCTCTTCTTCTATTGCCGCTGATAATCATTGAATAGATTAGGGATCTATCTGTTTGCTCAGTAGTCTTTCACTCTTTCGGTGCTCAAACCATTGAATGATTTTTATAAAGAATGTTGATGTTTGGATGATAGGGAATCATTGAATCAATACTTGGCGGAAAGTATTCTGGCCACCCGTTTTCGAATGCTGTATGTATGTATGTATGTATGTATGTATGTATGTATGTATGTATGTATGTATGTATGTATGTATGTATGTATGTATGTATGTATGTATGTATGTATGTATGTATGTATGTATGTATGTATGTATGTATGTATGTATGTATGTATGTATG